AGTAAAAAAAACAGTTCATTACTCGTTTATAATAATAACCCATCTAATGATTAGTTATGGAAAGATAATTTCTTAAATCAATGGTGATTAGTGGAAAAATAAAACAAATTTTAGTGGAAAAAAAACAATAATTATTAGTTTATGACATAAATCATTTGTTGATGTTTTAGAGCACAAATACATATATGGTTAGTTCTGAATGACAATTTATTAAAACAATGGTGGTTGGTGAAAAAAACAGGTTAACATCATTGTTGTTTAATGAAGTTTCACGAAATGTTTTAAATAGTTCTTTTGGGTTTTTTTTTTCTTGCATTATGAGGGAACAAAGTGGATTTTTTTTGGTTTAAATGGTCATTTTCGAAATTATGAAGGTGTAAATCGTTACCCCTTGCCATGTTATATAGCATCAAGACTCTATAGTTTACACCTAATATTTTCGAAATTATGAAGGTGTAAATCGTTACCCCTTGCCATGTTATATAGCATCAAGACTCTATAGTTTACACCTAAAAATATTAGACAAATTTTCCTCCATGGAATCTCTAAAAGATTCATGTTTGGGTTTTTAAGATTCATCACCTTCACCTGTAATTTTGCAATGTTGTTCTACTATGTCACGCTTTGATTTATGTAAAAACACAATATCAATCTTTGGACAACCATCAGGGAATATGTCATTCTCTCATTTGCAGCTTTCACTCGGGTTGTCAATATCATCGATCATGTTCTTGACATTGATAGAACATTTGCACTTAAACTCGTTAGCATGTATGCCACTATTGACTTAGGAAAATGACTTAAAAAAGTAATAAAGTATCAAAATTGTACAAAAAAGACCATTATTGTTATTTTAGCACAAAAAATCTCAGATTATCGGCTATTGTTAGTAACCATCAGGTTAGCCGGCTGTTTTTTAGTTATGATGAAAATAAGATATATTTAGGATAATACATGGCTTTCCCCTTCATTATTTCACCCAAATTGAAAAGACCAAAGGCTTGATCGTTCCTTCCAAAGTGTATACAAGATTAATCTACATCTCATAAAGCCCTTCCAACGCATACACAAATCTCTTCCACCCTTCTCCAAAGAACTCTCACTACTTGGTTTCTCACTAGTGAAATATGAAACATAAATTGTGTCGTCTTCTCTTACATGCCACCATGTTTGAGAAAAATGAATCTCCATGGCTGTAAACAAAGATCCAACTGTAACAAGATGTGTGTCTCCATAAGCTAGACCTATTAAAGCAGTTGAATAATATGTATTTGCAACTTCACTTGTGCTTTCTTGATTCCTTCTGTCCGTAAATTCAGTCAATCCAAAAGCATGTGAGTGTAGCTTCCACAAATTAAAGCATCTCAAATAAGGACACTTTGAATTTTCACCTCTACCCCTGTCATGACTTGATCACTAGTAAGCTTTGATCGATTTCAAAAACGGGATTGCTCAAGCAATCCTCCAATCAATCACCAAGACCTTCCCTCCTCACACTCACTTTTGATTATAGGTATGCCCTTTGAGCCGCATTTTCACCCTTCTTGATTCGATCGTCGTCCTTTCTTCTCCTGTCTTTTTCATTTTTTTCTTCAGGTTTAAAGGGTAAAGAGGACGATGTATAGGTTCTAAAAATTCGGAGATGAAGGTGTGGGTTTGAGGCTCAATAACTTATGGGTGTTCCGTAATGGGGGTGACAGGGGATGGCAACGGTGGAGAGGATGGAGGTTGGTTAAAGGGTATGGTTGTGATGGATAAACAAGGGGGTTTTATAGTGATTGAAGGCTATAAAGGTTATTGGGGTTGACTGGTGGAAGAAAGGTGGGAATCGTAGATGGAAAGTGGTGGTTTTTGGTGGTTTGGGTAGGGTGAAGAAGATGATGAAAGTGGGTGAATGGAGGTTGCCTTGTAGGTAAATGATAGGAGGATGATGGTGGGGGTTTAATGATGGTGTAAAGCTGCTAATGGTGGATGATAATGGAGGTATAAGGGTGGTATTCGGTGAAGGTGGTGGAATAAAGTGATGGGTTGATGGTGATAGAAGGTGGGAATGGTGTAGATGGTAAAAGGTCTTGGAATGTATTGTGGGGGTAAAGAAAAAAGACGATGGTTGATGAAGATTCTTTCCATAATTTCCCTAATTGGCTGTGATAAAATTAGTATACCAACTAAGCAATTTACATGTTAAATATAATGCTAAGTTAACCATTACCTTGAATATCCGGTTACCATGAGGATAAACAAGAACAAAAGATAAAGTGAAATGGTATTGTTTGTACAAAACCTTTAGTTCATTGGTATTTTTTGTACGAAAATAACAATAACGGTTATTTTTGTACAATTTTAATACTTCGTTACCATTTTAAGTTGTTTTCCCTATTGACTTTATAAAGGTCAATTTATGTTACCCAGATAGTCCAAAAATCATTGACCTAATAGATTTCTAGATGAAAATTGACGGCGGACACACAGTGGATGTAGTTAGGATTTTCGGTTCTGAAAAAACACAATATTTTCTCCAATTTATGATTTACAATCCAATTTTCGGGAAGATTCTTCTTTATGGAGAAGATTTGAGAAATTTCAGTCTATAATGGTTAAGGAACCAACTATGGGTTTTCCAATAAGAACCTATAATCTCCTCGATAAAAAATTCAACAAAATATAATCTACCAAGATCAAACAAGCGGCAAGAATCGTAAACACGCACCATAAGCATTTTACCAATTGGATACGATAATCATGTAGGTCTCAACGACGTGGATTTAACACTGGGGCAGAAATTGCTAATCGTGATTACATGTGAGGTGTTGCATAAGGCATCGATTTTGTTGCTTGATGAAGTTAATAGTACTATTGAACATAAGTCCAGACGTGTAGTGCAAGTGGCTCTTGATAAGCTTTTGATTGGAATTAAAATAATGATTTTAGTTGTGAGAAGAGCGTTGATAATGAAACAAGTTGATAAAATATTTGATACCTTCTACCATTACCCATGATATAGGTAGGTCAATATCCACACATGGTTATGTGACATATTAAACTGATTATATTAGGTTAGGATGACCAAATGAACAGATCAAACAAGCAAAATTTTAAGGAACCATTCAAACCATTTCGTGAAACTTTTTTACCCAATAATGACATTAAACGTCCAGAATAGATAAAAAAATCAAAAACTTATACATTACGTATAGGAAAAGCAACAGTTCAACTACGAACACCTAATGAAAAACCGCCCACGATATTTGCCCTACGTCGGCATCATATTATTTTCCACACCCTTTCCTCACCACATAAAAGTAATAGGAAATAGTCTCACCATGCCACCTTATTTTTTCCGTTTTCAAATATGTATTATATATATATATATATATATATATATATATATATATATATATATATATATATATATATATATATATATATATATATGATTTAATAATAATTAAAATGGAAAAAGAAAAAAAAATGTGAATAAAATGCAATATAGTTTTCACTTGCTTCAGGGGGTTCAACACACTTATCATGTCTTCTACCATGGTTTGCAGTGTTGACATCGGCCACTTTAGTGAAAGAAAAAACCCTTACTAGTTTATCAATACAACTACGAGTATGATTTAGAATTGAAATTTCTTAAAATAGTGGTGCTTAGTGGAAAAAGAAAGATTGTTCGTTACTTGTTTATGATATAACCTATTTATTAATGTTGTAGTGCATAATTACAAGTATGATTTAGTTCTAAATAGCTGTTTCCTAAAACAAACAATGCTGTTTAGTGAAATAAAAAAGCATGTCATTATTAGTTTATGTCATAACCCATTTATTAATGTTGTGCCCTCTACAAGTATGATTTAGTTATGAATTAATGTTGTGCCCTCTACAAGTAGGATTTAGTTATGAATAGTAGTTTCGTAAAACAGTAGTCTTTAATGAAAAAATTATTGCTTAGTTGAAAAAAAGACGTTCATTACTGTTTATGACATTATTCATCTATTAATGTTTTAGTGCACCACTACAAATATGATTTAGTTAAGAATAGTTAGCATATCATCTTAAACTTCTAAAAATGTAGGGTAGTTCATAGTGGTCATATCATATGGCTACATCTCTTTTTTGTTTTTTTTTTTGTTTTTTGTTTTTTTTTTCTTATTTAAACCAATTATAATCTCCATGTATATTACCTAGCAGTTATTAATTATTTAAAACACTCTAAAGATAGTTTTTTGTTATTTTTAGTGTTCGATATGACGTTTGAACACATTAAATTATATAATGTTTAATGAATAACCACATCAACATGTTTTCATACAACTTTATTATTTAATTTCTATAATTAACTGAAATCTACAAAATTTAATAGAACATATATACAAAACAATAAATAAAAGTTTGTTTTTTTCTTATCAATTGAACATTTAAAATCTTTATAAACTCCATATTAATTAAATGTAAACCAGGCATTTAACTAACCATTCCAATAAACCATGTCTTATCATGCTCATAAGATCTTATATTTAAAAAAATTGATTAACTAACATCAAAATATATATATATATATATATATATATATATATATATATATATATATATATATATATATATATATATATATATATATATATATATATATATTAATTCATACAATAACTATAAATGAATCAATTGTTGTTTCCAGATTTAACTTAACTTTATTTTTTCCTTAAAATTATTTTGCATTTTTTTCATATTTTTTACAAATTGGGTTTTTTTCAAAAAAATTGTTAAATGTGAAATTTTTTCAAGAAAAAAATAAATTAAAATCCAATGGCTTTTCGTAAAAACTGAAAAACATTAGATAGATTTAATCAGAAATTAATTCGATACACATATTAATAAGGTATTTACCTGATAAACAATTTTTAAACTATCATTTCTTACCAAATTTCAATTCCTATGAAAAATATATTTGATTAGATTCATTTGTAATTAACAGGATTTCTTTCTTTCAAACACACATCATGTTAGAAGGTCCAACTTTCCTTGTTTCAAGAGATTTGCCAAGTGCTTGTGAACAAGAAAGCAAATGGACTTACAATGCCCTTTGTGTCACCTCACTTTCGAAGAGAAAGACTTCAAAGCCATCCGAGGGTAATTTCGTCATTTCACCTTCTGAACCCAACAATTCAAACACCAAAAAACAAGACGCCAACAATCATTCAGATTCCACTTCATTAATCAACCAAATCGGCCTCGACCTCACAATCAACTGCCTTTTACTCAGTTCAAGATCCGATTATGGTTCAATCGCCTCACTAAATCGCAAATTCCGAACCCTAATTCGAAATGGCGAACTTTATAAACTTAGAAGAAAGATGGGTATAATCGAACATTGGATTTACTTCTCATGTAATCTTTTCAAATGGGAAGCTTTTGATCCAATCCGCCATAGATGGATGCGATTACCCGCCATGGACTGCAATGAATGCTTCATGTGTTCAGATAAAGAATCATTAGCAGTAGGCACAGAGCTTCTTGTATTCGGAAAAGAAATCGACAACCATGTCGTTTACAAATACAGCATCTTAACAAATTCATGGTCACCGGGAATCAAAACCACTACCCCTAGATGTCTTTTCGCCTCCGCAAGTCTCAACGAAATCGCCATTGTCGCCGGCGGGTGTTCTCCGTCTGGTAAGATCTTGAACTCGGCCGAGCTTTACAATTCAGAAATCGGGACATGGGTGAGTCTTAATAGCATGAATAAACGAAGGAAAATGTGTTCTGGGGTGTTTATGGATAAGAAATTTTACGTAATTGGTGGAGTTGACGAAAATTTCAACGAACTTACGTGTGGGGAGGTTTACGATTTGCAAACTGGGGTTTGGACGGTGATTCCGGGTATGTTTCCGGTGGGGGTCGGAAAGGATGCGCCGGCGATGAGTAAAGCTCCGCCTTTAGTGGCGGTTGTGAGGGATGAATTGTATGCGGGGTTTTATGAAGAACAGGAAGTGAGGAGATATGATAAAAGGAGGAATGTGTGGGTTAGGGTTGCGGGGTTGCCGGAAAAGGCGAGTTCTATGAATGGATGGGGGCTTGCTTTTAGAGCTTGTGGTGATGAGCTAATTGTTATCGGCGGGCCTAGGGCGGCGTATGGCGGAATGGTTGAATTGAATTCTTGGAGGCCCGATGAAAGCCCGCCTGAATGGAATTTGCTTGCGAGAAAACATTCTAGTGGATTTGTTTATAATTGTGCGGTGATGGGATGTTAAATTTCCGAATTTTTTTTTTTTTTGTTATTTAAATCTAAGAAAAAAAATCTAACATAATTTTCTAATTATTTATGAAGATTTAATCAAATGCAGGTTATGCATTTGGGATGTGATTTTGTTTAATGAGTTGTGATTTTGGACTATAATATATATAAAAGAGTTGTGATTTTGGACTATAATATATAAAAGAATCTAATTTTATTAATTTTTTTTTGATGAACTTATAATGTGTATGAACTAGTTATCAAAAGGTTTCTAATGTGTACATGAACTAGTATTAGATGTTGTCTTTCTTATTGAGTTTGTGGGTTAAGTCCTAAAATATGTGAATATAAAAATAGTTAAGAAATAAAATGAATTTATCGTTAAAAAAAACAAAATTCGGTACTCATTTTCAATAAAATGAGTGATGGCTAAACAATCTTAAGGGGTGTTTGGCTTAGTTTTTTACAACCAAAAGTCATTTTAAAAAAAAAAAAAAAAAAAAAAAAAAAGCAAATGGTGTTTGGTAAACTAGTTTTAAAAAGCTATTTTTGGAGTTTTTATACAATGAAAATCAACACGTTGGAAAAGTTAGGAAATCTTAACTTTTTGTAACTTTTCCAAAAATAATTTTTAGGGGTTTAAAAAGTTAAGCCAAACACCCCCTTAGTAGTCAATACGGCTCCTCCAACGCTCAAAATAGAAAACCTATGTTGTTTTTTTTAATTTTTTTTGGTTAAATTTAAGAAAATATTTACTAAGACCGTACATACGATCCCGACCGGCCGTGGTCGATCGTTTTCCAATTGTTCTCCGGACCACGAAACTCAACGCCCAATAGTGCTCTTTCCCCTTGATCTTTTGACTGGCCGTTCCAACGGCCAAATTTTTTAAAATTTATTTTTTTTAATATAATAATTTTTACATATTAATTTTACCTATAAATACATTCTTCCAATTCTTATTTCTTACACCATTCTTTTCTCATTCTATACACAAAATACACATAATGTTTTCACAACCAAAACCACGGACCACCACCAAAATACCCCTCCAAACCACAGAAATCGCAAACTTGATCATGCTTTTGCATTAAATACACCCGCCCAACAATTTCCGATCATGGAATCACCTCAAAGGGGTTTTGTTAATTTGTTTCAAACCGGTTCCCCTATTCAACAAACAATATTTTTCCAACAACAATATCAAGCTTTCCCGGCCTTCCAACAACCACAACTTCAACAATATCAAGCTTTCCAACAATTCCAACCACCAACATCACAGCCCCATCATTCGTCGGATTTTGTTTCGGAAACTCAAGATTCACCACCACCTCAACTTAAAAGAAAAAAGGAAAAAATTGGCACGACCCACCTCCACCCAAGAAAGGGTCCCATGGAAAAAAAAAAGAAGAAGAAGAAAAGCTAGTGGAGGTATGAATTTCGACTTCTCAAGACCCAATCGAAGGCGATAGTCAAACGTACGGTTGTTTTTAAGAGAAAGTTTGAGCAGTGTTCTATGAGTTAATGAGAAGTGAAAAATGAAATCTCGATCGAATTAGCTCGAAGTGGAGCAATATTTAACTAAAATGCACTGAATTTGGAGGAATTTACAACAACCTCCTAAACATACGAAAAAACGGGTCAAACGATTTCGATATCTTCAAGGCGGATTTAGACCAATTGAAAAAATAACGTCAACCCGCAAAGCTTTTCTGTATGTAAAAGTGTGGCTAAGTTGAAACATGTTCCAAAATTAAAAGAGCAAACGGAAGGAAGTTGACAATCTTCCAGTTCAAAGCATTCAAGAAACCCCGATGCAACTTCCTAACAATTGGACAGGCGAACACACTTTGACATCAACGATAATCCGCTCAATCGTGAAGATAAGCAACCTCTTTGTCGGTCCATTGGAAGAAAAAAAAACAAAATAACGGCTTTAATGACCTCGGGATCTAGCGTTATGGATCAATTTGGAGAGAAATTTGATCGTTATATGCATGTTTAAGAAACGAATGCGGAAATGTTAGGTGAGGTAGAACAAAAAATTATAGAAACACAACCGGTGATTCAAACAAAAACCGATATGAAAATCTTGAAAATGAAAACGGTTGACCTCAAAAGCGAAGATTTGGAGATATTTCTCGCGATGAAGGAGTTTGTTCGAGTCCGACGTAGAATAGGGGATAGTTTTTTTGGTTAAGCATGGTAATTTTAGGTTTTTCATATTTTATGTTTTTTTTTTATTTATTTTAATTAATGTAATTTTTATTTTTAATGTAATTTTTATTTTTTATTTTAATTAATGTAATTTGGTATTTTAAATTAATGAAAAACTAATATTTAAAAAAATTATATGATTTCTATGTATTTTTTATTTAAATTTAATTAAAAAAAAATAAGTTTGAGTGGTGGTTAGTAGTGATGAAATGGTACCCACCATGATTTGTTGTGGGTATTAGGGATTGTCTAAAATTAAGATAAATTTATCCTTTTTTTTTCCATAAAGTTTCAATCAGCCAATCATCTTTTTTTATTTTTCTTTGAAGAAACGTGACTACAATACCTTTTTTACACTTTAATAGTCCAATTTACGAACCATTTATTATACCACTAATTAAATTCCAACATTCTTATGAACACTACCCGAGTTGGATACTGTTCATACTCTGTTACTATTCATCGAACTCGGAATCCACCGCTTCACCGACTAATCAGTTTATCTCAAGAAGGTTACTTCCAATCGCCCCTTTTCCAATTACGCATACGATATCGATCCACCGCATCACCATTCATCGCCTCATCTACTCCATTTCTCGATTCCTCGATGGAATTCCCAAAACCGGATGTAGCGACATGCCACCCTCCATTTTAGTCTACTCATTATCTATTTAATTACGGCTTCGATTTCCAATAAATTCGTCTATATTCGATTAGGGCTTCGATTTCCAACAAACTACCGCTCAAAAGCTAGAAGATCCGTCTGATTATTTGCAACATGAAGTCGATTTCTGGTCGGCGATTAGGGCTTCCAATTCAGTTCCGGACGGTTCTCACTCTCATGGATATCCCCTCTATCAATAATCATCATTACAGGAACGCTTTGTGTCTACTTTCTGTATAGATATGCCCACCTAGGAAAGGTCTTTGGAAACCCTTGGAAAATTGCACGAGAGATCGACTGGGTAAATCTCACCGGCTTCACTCCATAATCTTTTGGTTTTGGTTTTTTCGGGTTCTCAATCAGTTTCACCTCAATTTATTTCGTTTTTAGAAGGAAAGGGACTTTAAACCCATTATTGAAGTTAACAACTTCATGTATCCGTACCCATCAAAGACAAAGGAGAATGAGTAGGTATCCACCAAAGGCTTCAAGGCCAGCGGTAAAAAAAAATGAGTAGGTATTCCCTAATATTCTTTTTGTGATTGTTTTCCAGGAGAACGGAGATGGGGAAAGGTCTACCACTCTATCTAGATATCGCCAAAAACCAAAGGTAAATCATCGATTTTTTTTTAGTTTTTATTACATATATGTATGTATGTGCTGCAAGTGTATGTGTGCATAAAATTGTTGTTTCATTGTCAATCGATTATCATAAAAATAGATAAGTTTAATCCGATTCCCTGTTTGTAAGAGGCCGCTATGCTCTATTATTTTCATAGATATTTTTTTCTATAGGATTGTGACAATTGTTGAAGGTCAACACAGATGTATGTCTACAAAAACTCATGCACCTGGACATATTATTGAATATGCCATTTCTTGGACTTAATAGTGAAGGAGCTCCATAATCTTTGACTTTATGCATCAGATCGTGTTTAAAGAAAAAGAAAAATCATATTCTATCTTCTCCAGGAGACGAAATGAATGATAGTTCCTCATACATATTTCATGTCATCCTTTTGTTCTTGATTCAATTGATTTTAAATAAGTTGTACAATGAATATAGAACCTCCAAATTTTATGTCCACATGTCAAAATGCGCAAAACTGTTAAAAAATTCAATAAAATGCGTTTAAGGTCACATTCTTTTGCATTCATGTTATTGTTTTGTGTGAAACATTATCTAAAAATTTAAGTTTTTGGATCTTGCATCAACGAGTTACAAAGGATTAAGGATCTATACTTGTACAGTTCACAATATCTTTGATCCCTCATCCGATGAAATCATATGTTCACTAATGGTTCATTTTGTTCTTTTATAAGGGGTGATGTGGAACCAGTTGACCAAAAGAAATATCTTTAACACTCTTGCAATCCCAGGTGTGTTAGACCTCTCATCGAGTATCACATGCTTTATTTTTCATACTTTCTTAAGTTTTTCTTTACAATAATGATGTTTTTATTACTTTAAATGTTGTTTTTATTAGTAGCACGATTTTAATTTAAATTACAATTATATTTCTACAAATAACAAA